ATGGGCAGCATCTCACCTCTTCTGCAGATCTTTAATTTCTTGACACATCCAAGGGGAAGGACGGCGAAGAAAGGTTTCTTTTTTTTTTTTCTTTTTTTATTAGAAAAAATACATTTTGCCTCAATCAATGGCATTGGGTATTTGCGATATGAGAAACTCATTCAAACAACATATAAAATTACAAAAATAATAGATATTACAACAAAAATAAGAAAAGAAAGCTTAGTAATAAAATATGATACAACACAAATTGAAAAAAATAAATAACTAATAAAAAAAATGAAACAAATAACATTCATGCATATTTACAATATTTACAGTCAGCCGAGGGAGCTCCAAGTCGGGCCTTTTCCCACACTTGTGGAAGATAAGGCAGGGCCCTAAGAGATCCCAGTGCTTCTCTCTCAGCCGCATCACTGAGATAGGGATCCAGTGGAGACTGAGAAAGAACACTAAAGCCAAATACGCCCATGACTTGAGTGGAGAAGCTGGCCATTGCCAGGTCTCCAATGACGTATTTACAAAAGATCTCGAGGCCACTGCCTTTTTGTAGGTTTTGATGAAAATTTGAGAAACGGGATGGAATAACGTCAAGGACATAAGGGATGTTAAGATCATGATGTAGGGTTTTGTTTGTATCATAATAGGGAGCATTTACTATTGTACGAAGGACTTTAGACTGGAAGGATTGGATCCCCCACAGTTCAAGTCTGTAGGTCCAGATGAGTTTTAGTATGGTCTTGTATATTAATAGTTTGTTTCCAATTGAGAGGTTAGATTTTCTGTTAAGTAGTCTGTATAACTGGCCAAATCGTCGGTTAAGTTCTTGTCTTTTAAGTCTGGTATGTGGGTTCCATGTTAGTCTCTTGTCTAAAAGGAATCCAAGATATCGAACTGTGTCTGAGATGGGAAGAGGTACTGAGTTGAAAAGGAGAGGTGGACAGGATCTGCGTCGGAGGGTAAAGGTAACATGCTTGCATTTGGATTCATTGATTTTGATGCGCCAATTGTTGCACCACTGCTCTATTAGGGAGATGTGTCTTTGTAGGTTTAGGGATGCTGTTTCAGGGTCTGAGTGGGATGATAGGATGGCAGTTTCGTCAGCAAATGTTGCTAGAAGGGTATCAGGATGGGTTAGTATGTCAGCTGTGAAAAGAATGTAGAGAACTGGGCCTAAGCACTGACTTGTGGAACACCAGCCTCAACTGGATAATAATTGGAGAATTCGGTGCCGCCGCGGACTTGAAAGGTAGGATTTGAGGGAAGAGGATGATTATGGAGTGTTTCCACATCAGAGGAAAATGAGTTGTACGGAGTATACAATTGTATAGGTATATGAGGAATATGATTGCTTTTTTGGGAAGTTGTGTAAGGATCTGGGAAGTAAGGAGATCGTGTCCAGGATATTTTCGAGGTTTTTGGTTTTTTATAAGGAATTTGGCCTCAGAGGGGTTGACTGCTTTAGAAGGCAAGGAGAGAGGAATTGGAACTTTAGCAGTGTGGGTGGGATGGAGTCCAGGGTAGGGAGTGAATGTGTTGGATAGGTGTTTGGCAAATACTTCAGCTCTAGTCTCATCTGACGAAGCCCAAGTTGCATCATCGCATCGTAGGGGGTGGGAAATAGAGTGGTATTTAAGGATCTTTTTGGTCAATTTCCAGAGGGAGTTGTCTTCGGTGGAGAGGGAAGAAAGGTAGGAATTGTAGGGTTGGGATCTAAAGGAAGCCAGGTTCTTTTTTAACCTGTTTGGAATAGTAATTGTGTAGTTTCCGATCATAACGATGCCTGGTTCTTTGCCAGAAGGTTCTAGATCGGCGTTTGGATTTAATGAGGTCAGTAAGGGTTTGGGGTAAAGGATTTTCTTTTTAAGCGTTTCATTGGAGGAGAGTGGTGAGGATGCAGTCCAGACTGCTTGTTGGATCAAAGTGGTGAAGGAACTCATTGCATTATCTAGGTCTTGAGATGTTTTTAGGGATACTCTGATGTCTATTGCATCTATTATTGTTTGACGGAAAAGGTTCCAGTTGACAGGGCCTCTGATGAATGAAGGAGGGGATAGGGAATGCGGAAAGGGTTAGGCTTAGCAGACTGTGATCTGAGAAAAGGTCGTCGAGCCGTAAAACTGAGAAATTTAGCGGCCCTAGACCTTTGTGAATGAAGAAGTCAAGGAGATCGGGATTACGGTTAGGATCGGTTAGCCAGTATGTAGGAGTATCAGAGGAAAGGATGTTGCTATGGTGGGAATTAAATGCAGATAGCAATGTTCGGCCACGGGAATTTGTGGTTCTGGCTCCCCATTGCTGGTGTTTAGCATTAAGGTCTGCACCTATAAGGAAGTGGTGTCCTAAGGAATTAAAAAGGGAAATGATATTAGATTCAGGTACTGTTATTTTAGGTGGAGAGTATGCTGCGACAACTGTGACAGGAAAAATTGAGGTTTGGATTGCTACTGCTGTGGTCCACAACGCGAAAGCCTTGTTGGACAGTGGAATGTCTTGAGCGGAATCCAAACTGATGGGAAGGGATATTGTGGGATTCGAATATGGGTAGGATGCGTTTGAGAAGGATTTTCTCGAAGATTTTGGAAAGGATCGGGAGTAAGCTTATCGGTCTATAGGATGGTGTATAATTAACAGGTTTACGTGGTTTAGAAAAGAGGATAATTATATTATATTAATAGTTTCACACCAGAGGAAAGTGGGTTTTGCGGAGGATACTGTTGAATAGGTATGTAAGGAATATAATTGCTTTTTGGGAAGTTGTCTGAGGATCTGGGAAGTAAGGAGATCGTGTCGTAAAAGATGTAGAGATCCTACTCCGACTCGTAAGTGAATGTTGTGCAATGTGCGCCCCACACTAGATTTTTTCTCTTTATTTTGTTGCTTTTTAAGGAAAGTGTTCTTATTTTGGAATTTCAGTCCTTTCCTCTTAGCATACCATTGTCTGTATAACATTTCGCTCGTAAAGAATGCTTCGTTCCCTCTGTAACTAGGAAGTTAACAATAAATAAGAATAAAATGTTATACCTACGTGCTTCTATCAATTTAATTTAATAATCGCTTAATTTCAGGATTTGAAATCGATAATTATTTTTTTTCACGTAATCTTGGAATAATTATTATATTTGATTTTAATTTAAAAATCATGTATGATTTATAAATAAAAAGTAATATCGACCTTTGGTTTTATATATAATTAAATTGTGATTAAAAAAATTTAGATCAGAAAATAAAAATTATCTTTTACACACAAATTAAATAAAATATTAATTTGTATATATATGATATTAATGTGCACATTTTTTAATATTATATTTCTAGAAATCACTTTAATTGTGCACGAGGTTCCTGCACTGTATATATGTATACATATATATATATTTTTTTATATACCAAAATTTCTAATAAATTTTGGAAATAAAGATGTTCTGTTGCTAATGGTTGATAACACTATTTTCCACCTACCACTACATACTCAACATAAATAATATAGATTAGAAAAAAGATCTTTTTCTGATTTAAAAAAAAAATACTGAAGAATTATTATTATTATTGTTAATTATAAAAATTTGGATCAAAAATAATAATAAGATATGATTTTTATCACTTATGGTCAAAAAAAAAAAATTAAATGATTTTTAAAAATCCAGACAAAAATTTTTATCTGATTTTTGTATTTATTTATTGAAATTTGCAATTATACTAAACAGATACAACTAGTAAATATGAGGAAATCAAGAGTAATGACATGGACATACTTGTGGAGACACTGCCCAATGATAGCATTCCCTAAATAGTTCAAAGATCACGAGGTCATCTTCTTTTAAGACACCTAGGGGGATTATCAGAAATTGAGGAAGAACCAAGGCTGGAAACATGTGGATTCGGATGGGACTGGAATTTGTTATGTAAGGATATATATCTTGCTTGGGCTAAATCAGCGACATTTTATCAAATTTGATTTTCATTTTTTTAATTATCGATTTCAAACCCTGCTTAATTTCTTTATATGTACAAAATAAAAATATTGTAATGATTCTTATGTAATATAAAGAAATTTATATTTCTTGTCTTAATGTCTTATACAGTAAAAATGTACATTTAATAGAGTCTCGTACATCTCCCACTCTGAATCCAATTTAAAACAGATGTTTTAGTAAGAAACAAAAAAAAACAAAAAAATAAATAAAAAAATCGATACTTTTATTGTTGAACAGTATTAACTCGTATCATTAAAGATACCTCAAATACATTTGTGACCATAAAAAATGATGAGTTAATAATTGCATAAATTTTACAGTCAATGTGCAAGTTAAAAAAAAAAAATGTTTACTAATAGAAGTGGTCAATCACATAACACAATGCTAACTTATAATACTTAATTTTATTTACACATATAGTTTAAAATGATTTTTAATTAACATAAAATATAAGTTTTAAATAAAATTTGCTAGTAACAAGTATCAGTTACATGTGTTAGGTAAAAAAAGAAATTAGAATTAGTTCATGCTTGGTCCCGGTTTGGATTTTTTTTCTTTTTTATTCTTGGTTCCTAGAGCTTTGGTTAGGCATTTACATAATATTTATAAAAATATTTCTTATTTTCTTTTTTCTTGCAGTAGATATATTACAAGTCTAATTGCAATTGGAAGCGTAATTAACTTAACAAACTAATATGTATGCTACATCTATTGTACATACAAAAGTATTTAATATCTGTGTAATAAATACAAATAATTAAAATAAGTGGGAAAAAGTTTTTCCATATCAACAAAATGATGGTTTGATTATCACATACCTAATTGCTTATTATTATTTAATATTATTTACAATGTCACTAACTGTTACTATAATTATAAAATCTAAAACTCAGTTTCATATTAAACTGCAATTGAAAGTTGTACATTTATATGTACTTAAATATGTGTTCGTTTCTTTGTAGTATGTGTGTCTCTGTGTGTGTGTTTGTATGTGTATTAATATTTATTATTTACAAGTTTTACTTAATTTCTTTTTGAGCTATTTATAAGGTATTTGCAACAATGTGTTAACAAATGCTTTTCTGAATTGCCACTACTGCTGTATTCTCTTGTGTAAATATCCAGGCCATATTGTCCTTCTTCTGGAAAGGAAAGTGAAAAGGTAACAATATCTTCATCAGTAATGCTGTGTGAAACGAACTTCGATAAACGTTTTTCTTCTATTCCGTTTTTATGTAAAGTCGCCATAAAATCAGTTAACTGTCTTGACATTCTGAACTGGATTTCTAGTTCACGGCCAGCAAATATTAATGCTTCCTGAAAAACAATGAATTATTGTATCAAAAATAAATACTATATGTATATAAACACAAGGTAGGAATAATTGTCATTACTACTAACATAAGTTTAAAGACGTAATAGGATCATTCAAGGTAATAGGGCTTACCATATATGCCTCAGATAAAGTCTATTTAGTACCTGTATAGTTGGTGTCGCCTTTTGTATCCCCATTAGAAACCATTATGCAATTTTTATAATAGGGTGTATAAAAAAAAATGACCGTTTTTAACCAAATATGTGTATTATTATTTCTTTGATATAAAATACAATTAATACTCAAAGTATAGTCCATTGTTATCTACCGCCATTAGCCATCTGCTAGCCAATTGCTCGATCCCACGCTGATACCATTCTTTGGAATGGCTGTCAAAGAACTCTTGGACCGCAATTTCAACTTCCGCAAAATTATCAAATTTTTTTCCTTGACGAAAATGGACTATGGATCTAAATCCGATATAGAGTAATAATCCGATGTTGCAAGTTCTGGACTATATGGTGCTTCAGGTAGGAGTTTTTCAGCCAAGAGGTTTTCAATAAATGTTTACAAATTTTTAACCTCTTAGCTGCCTTCTGAGGAGTAAGTTCGTGTTGGACCAGCCTACTGTTTTTTTTCAATTTCCACATGTAGAGTAGATGGTGACTAACAGTATCTTACGACACACCACACTCCCTGGCAAGTTCGTTAACTTTGAAGGCTTCAGATAATCTACTTTTATTACGACTCGACTTAGAGACATTTGTACAAGCATTTGTCAATCTCACCAACTTACCGGAAACTCCCAGTTCAGTCATGATTTTCCAAAGACAGCTCCTGTCCACAGAATCATAGGCTGATTCGAAATCGACAAATAGGGCGCGGACGTCCTGAACTATTTCCCATCGTTTTTCGAATAGTACTTGTTTTAGGAGGTAGATCTGGTCTAGCGTGATCCTCCCTTTTCTGAAACCAGCTTGGTGGTCGCCTATTGTATTTACGTAATATGGATATATCCGGTTTAGTAGGATATTGGTCATTATCTTGTAGGCTCCATGTATGAGTGTTGTGCCTCTGTAATCACAACACTCATACATGGAGCCTTTCTTTAAGATAGGACAGATTAGTTCCGTTTTCAAAGCCTCGGGTATTCTTTTCTCTTCCCATATTTTCTGGATCAGTTGTAGTAGCTTGGCTCTTAAGTCATCTCCCCCATCTGTGAACAGTTCTGATGGTAAATTGTCCATCCCTGGGGTCTTTCTTGTTTTGGGCCTTTCGATAGTTATTTCTACATTCATAATGTCTGTTTTTTCAATCTCTTCTGGGTCAAGGTCCTCAGTGTGGTCTATGTCTTCTTCGTTTGTGGGTCCCCTTGATTGAGGAGTTCCTGGAAATGTTCAATATCTTTTCTTTAGATTCCGCCAGAATGTCATATTTTCCTCACATTTGCGTATTTCTCGCTTTATATCCTGCCTTTTCTTTCCTAATGTCTGCGTAGAATTCGCATATGTCTCCAGCCTGCCAGTTGTCCTCAATGGTTCATATATATATATATATATATATATATATATATATATATATATATATATATATATATATATATATATATATATATATATATACGTATATATAATTTCTAACAAGTGACGAGATTCTCTGAAGATCGTCTGGCGCCCAGAGACAATAATTATTGCCTCGGTTGCCCCACCTTAAGGCCGGCACTGTGAAGCAGTATTGTTCCTTTACCAATATACATTACATACATTATATAATAAACTATTTAGAAATACAATACAATATACAACTAAATACAATGTACTACAGCTAAATACAATATACAACTAAGTAGAAAACCGCTATAAAATTAAACTTGTTATAGTAAAGTTAAATTTATTTAATAAATTAAAGGAAATAGAAGAATAAAACGGAGTCACCATTGACATTACCTGATGTGTTATTGGAATGAGTCCGAATAACCTGGTTGCTTTGGTAGGACCCCATTCACCACTCGCACAGTCAGGTAACGGTACCATTACTGTTTGTAGATCTTCACAAGATATTTTAAATTTACATACGCTCTTAAATTTCATTGGTTCTCCTGTTAGATACTCCTTAGGAGTTACTGAGTTGGCGAAAATATCAAGGAGGAATGAGCCACTACTTGGAGCATGCACTCGAAAAGAAACTATGTTGCTGACGACTGACTAAAAAAGAGAAAACAACACAATAATGCCTATGTATAAATAAAATCTTAAATAACTATGATAATAAAATAAATAAAATTATGGCTTATTTTAGTTTATTTTAAAACTACTTCTAACAACTTGATTTATTGTAGAAATTCAAAAAATCTATTAATCACTTTTTCGATGGTTATCTAATCTTCCTGACTAATTTGAGTAAATTGTATTGTTATCACTTTATTCAATTATAGTGGTTGAGGAGGTGTTTTTATTGACTAAATTTTTAGTTTAAAAAAAAGCTTATTATACCTCTGAGTCACTGTTATACTGATTAGGGGAAAATGACTTAATGATAATGTAAGAAGTCTAAGTATTTTTCATCTGTTTTGGTTAATTTAAGGAATAATTTTATATTAAGTTTTCATAAAATAAAAGGAATTTATCTATGAATGAATACTACCTACATTCATATTTGGATTAGGGTTTATATAATAGGATTTTACGGGTCCTGGGACGAGTGCTCGATTCTCTGGATATGGGGTTTTCATTCACCTATAACAATTTTTATCTGACTCACACTTTATTTACTTAATTGTGATGAGTCCTTAATTTTTTTTTTAATATAATCCTGTAACCTATTATATATTAATAAAAAAGTGTTAGTAGATTTGATTACAATATTTTTCTGTTAATCATAAAAACTGTATGTTGTGTGTTAATTTTTTTTTCGATGAGGAATTTCATGTAAACATCTTATAGTCTTAAACAATGAAGTGCGATTTATTTAAATTTAATGCTTTGATATTTCTCACGACTTTGATTTTTTTAAATGTTTTATTCAATGAAACGATTTATGTTTTTGTTTAATATAAAATGAAAGTTTATTTACTACATTTATAAATGTATGGCCTATAATACTCTTCTTCTGAACAAGTAACGATAAACGTTTGCAATCGTTCTTTGAGGAATTCCTTTTTGCCGATCTTATAGTTTTGTTTTCCTTTTTCTTGGCAGCTGTATACTTGTCCTGAGCAACTTGATCAGTTGTAGTTCTAATTTTTTTCTTTCCTCTACTGTCTTTTCGCATCCTTTTGTGAACCATATTTTAGCTTTTCGTTTCTCCTGATTACCGATCACTTCCTTAGCTGTTTCTTTTAGTCCTTTCTCTATTTCCTCCGAGTCAGTGTTGGTTATCTGAATCCAAGGGTTCGAATTTATTTTTCAGCTGAAGTTGGAATTTGGTTTTTACTCAGGATTTTTCAAATTACGGACTTCATACCTCCTTCCATCCAGTCGATCTCTTCTGTGAATTCACTTAAATCTCTGACATAGTTTAATTCTAATCAGAGAGTGATCCGAACACACAGTCTGCTCTACGAGAGCTCCTTACATCTTGTATGAATTGTCTAATAGTACATGGTCAATTTGGTTTGTCGCTCCTTTGGGGCTAATCCAGGTGTACTTGTTATTCTTTATGAGAATTCAATTTTCAATCTTTATCAGAAATCAATCTATTTCATTGATCTCTATATATTTTTACTTATATAAATAAAAGGTGTTTCATGTTGGGTATATACATACACACATATATATATATATATATATATATATATATATATATATATATATATGGTGGCTGGGGTAGCCGTTCGGGCTAAGGCCTTTGTAATAGGTAATCAAAGTTAAGCAACGTTGAGCGTGGTTATTACTTTGATGGGTGACCGCCTGATTTGGGTGACCGTCCACCGGGATAAGCCATGCGCCCGAGTCCTCCCCCTCCCCGGTATGTGAGACCCGTCAATCTACTGGATGCAATTCACACCGACCGGGCGTAGGACTAATGGCCCTACCTCGTGTACTTAAATCGGGAATAGGGATGTCGTTTACCAGAATGTTAACAGGCCCCCTGAGGTTCGGTCCATGGACGATTCGCTTCAGAGAAAGAAATACAGGTGCTCGTGCACCTGTTGACTCCGGGCAGCGATAATCTATGGATCTAGACGGATTTGTCACTGTCCTTGAACCCGAGTGAGTCGGTGGAAAGGACATTGCCAGATTGGCCCCAAAGGTATCGGCTCTGGAGCTACGGGTGGCCTGCCGCTACACCATGGAGACCATGGTTCGTAGCAACGTGAGGTTGGGTGACCCTCTACAGGCTATCTGAGCTCCCTCAAGTAGCATACGTCTGTAAGGAGACCACATCTCGCGGCTAAAGATCTTCATGGCCAATCTAAAAAAATTATGTATTTTTTTATATATATATATATATATATATATTATATATATATATATATATATATATATATATATATATATATATATATATATATATATATATACATATACAGACATACAATAAAGTGTATTATAAAAATTATTTTTTTCTGCAACTTCTCAGAATCGACGTATAAAGTTATAGCTGATATAACTTTTGAACGGTTAGAGGTGAACTTGTAAAATACTATATATTCGTCAAGAAAATTTAATTATTAAAAACTTTTTTCCCATGATTAACCGTAAAACGAAGCACTCAAAAGTTAGCTAGTTAAATACAGTAAAAAAACATGAGATAACAAAATATTTTTTCCACATTAGCGATAGCTGAGGACGGATATCTCGGAAACTAAGGGAGATAGCGAAAACAGGTATAATATCCCTTCTATCATCATATTGATAGATGCGATGGATAGTTTTCCTTAAGTCATGAGTCTTTTTCAGAGGCTTGGCGCTGTTAAAGGTGATAGTAGTGATTGTTTGGTTCTCTCTTCTTTGATATATCCAGTCAAAAACTATTCTGCAGGACTAGACCTAATACACTCCTTCCATCTTTGGCTTGGTCAACATTTTGATGTTATTCGTAGGTCAGTGATAATAATATTTTTCCATTTTCATCTCAACAACTTTACATTACCAATTATGTCGTCATAATGATATTACTTCAATAATTACAGGCTATAGGGAGGGTCGCAGAATATGTTATGTTTATTTGTTTCACGCTTCATAAACTATGTGAAATTTTTATCAAGTCATGTCTGGTAATGCGTCTTCAGAATTATCCCGAACTCAATCAAAAAGTAATACTTAGCGCTTTTTTAATTGAGATATTGCAATATGTCTCAATTAAGGACATTAATGATAGTGTTGAGAGAGCACATTCACATTCTATGTGCAATGAATAAAAATAAATTAAACCGCAAAATAATTATACTAAAAGTAAATGTATATAAACAACAACAAAAAAAAAAAACAATCAAAATAACAAATTAAATACAAGCATACTTTATACAATTTTTATAAAATACATTCACACAGAAGAACTCCGAGCCAAGTCTTTCTCCCCAATCAGCGAAGGAAAGGCAGGGCTCAAGGAGTTCCTAGCGCCCCTTATTTAGCCGGATTACTGGTGTTAAGAACCAGTGGAGTCTGAGCAAAGACGCTATACCCGTAGTCGTGTATGGCTCGAGGGGAGAATCTGGCCATTGCCAGAACTCCGATGTAAGCTTATTTACAAAAGATCTATGGGCCACTGTCACTTTAACCTTCGAGGAGTATTGTAAAGATAGTTGAAGCTTGATAAGGATTGTGCAAGGGAATTAGGATGATATTTAAGGTTCTGACAAAATTTAGACAATTTTTTTGAGATAAGGTCTAAGTCAAACAAGAAAGGCTTGAGAGATGGGCAACCTACTACCAGAATTGTTTAAAAATGGGGGAGAAAAATTAAGAACCAAGCTGCTACAACTAATCCAGATAAATAGATTCTGTCAAAAAATCCGCGAATGTGTTTGAAATCAGTTAATAATTATCAGACATTTGTCCGTTGACTGTTATAGTGTAGCGGGAGGATGGAGGATTTCTGGTGAGTTTATGGACTTTGATTCAAATTTCAGCTGGTGTCGTAGAGGCATTTATGAAACTTATAAATTTTTTCCAAGACTCGGTTTCATAATGGTTGAATAGTTTTCTAAAGTTGAATAGTTTAAGGTCTAATTATATTCAATTAGATTTTCTGTCGTTATAGATTTATGAAAATTCTTATATGCTCTACAACGTTCTTTGATGGCATTTTTGATGACACATCATTAAACCACGGAAGCAAGTAAGCGGTCTTTTTGGAAGACCCGATGCCATCGATATAGATGCTTTAGCTGCTTGCATGATCATATTAGTAATGATTTCACTATTTAGCTATTGCCACTATATCGCTAGACTTCAGTCATTCTCTATATTTACTTCAGATGTAGAGGTTTGAGGTGGAGAGACCAGCGAAGCGAAAATTGACCCATCTGCTTTGTTTAGTACCCATCTCGGTTTCCCGTGAGTGGAGTTTGTATTTATGAATTTGATAAATATTCGTAAATGTTCGCTACTGTACAAATTGGGTAAAACAGTCCAGTTTATAGTGTTGTAAAGGGCGGAAATGCGGAAAGGTCAAGGGTTGAAGTAGTTCCATAACTAGAGCTCAGGAATGTTTGTTCTCCAATGTTGAGCAGGAGATCGGAAGTGTCTGAAAAATGTCCTATTATTTTACCCTACATGTAGAGGTCTCGGGATCCCTATAGAGGATTGTGGCCGTTACAGAACGAGCAAGCTGGTTGTAAATATCTAAGAGGATATTTACGATCTTGGGTGGTACTATTGAACGATCTTGTGGCAGGTATACATTGCTAATTGAAAAGCTCAAACCGTGGTAGACTCTGACTGCAAAAGATTGAAGATGGGATGCGATTGGAATTTATTCTGAATATACCGATTTATTTACAGCTAATAGAACTCCGTGGTGACTGTGGTTTGGGTTCGGCCTATCTTTTCTATATATTTCAGATTTTTTAATGGTAAAGTTTTCATTTACAGTTTGGTGTGTCTCTTGAAGAGTAAAACAAAATGGGTCAGTATCAGATATTGGAGAGTGATAGTGATCGCGTTGCGGAGTTGGAAATATGGAAGAATGGCAAGCACCGGCGCATACTTTTTGCGTACAATCCACAAAGAAATGAGCCCAACCTGGACTGGCTTGAAGCTACCTCGGACTCAAGATGTGTTCTCTGTGGTGACTCCAATGCACCCTCAACATGATGGGGTTTTGCCACCACAGATAGAGTCGGAAGAGTAGTGGAAGAGTTTATTGACTCTAACCCAGTTGATTACATTGAAAATGATGCATTTGCTTCCACTTTTCTATCTTATTTGGCCAATAGTTCTCACCTGATTTAGTCTTTGCACACATTTCCTTAAAAGCCCCTTTACAAAATGAACTTTTATCTGCACCAGGAGGATTTGGACAAAGATTGTAGCAATCAAATTCACTGGGATGCATAAAGAAAAAATAAAAAGCAATAAATTGAGGTGGAACCTGAAGAAAGTCAATTGGGATGCTTACTCCAAACTAACTGATGAGCTGCTCACTCCAGGACTCATAGCGGGGAACCCTGACTCCTCTCTTAACAAGATTACAAAGGTACTCTTCAAGTGTGCTGGAAAACAGTACCAAGAGGAAGAGTGAAGAGGTATGTTCCGTTTGAGAAGCTAGAAAAACTAAAAGTCAAGC